AATAATATAAATTACATTTAAGTACTTCAAATATGACACGATATAAAACTGGCGAATTTTAGCATTCTCTCGAATACCTTAGCATTACCTATTTCATTTCAATAATGTTGTTTATGAAGGAAAAACATAATTTATCCTCATAATATTAGATAGAACAATGCGACAAAGACATCTTATTAATATATTGTTTGTGCTGTATTTGTTGGGAGCCTTGGGAACGAAATGTGACAATGGACACTTAATTTATCTTTAAATACATGACTCATAGTACCTAGGCACCTAAAGATATGACTATATGGCCTATTTTCGTCTGTACATTTGTTATAGAAGAAATTCTAAATTATAAATAATTCATTTGGTTTGATGCTGTTTAAATATGTATGTGGTTAACGCTATAATCATTTTGCACACACCACCGTTAAAAGATGAAAGTTTGCATTTAATTGGACTTCACATAAATTTTAGTGTTTCACGATATTATACACGTATCTAGGAAATATAATATTCTGGATAACAAGTTGAATGTATAAAATCATTGATGAAGTAAATTGTTGGAGTGTCGAAGCGGTACCAGGTACCAGGGCGCAATGAAATTATAGGAGGTTGGTTGTGCCCTAGTTAGTCTAAATAAGAATTTCTAGCAAAACGAAATAATTGGTCCACTCTCTGTATGTGGCTACAACTTGACCGATGTTCGTCATTCGCGGTCTAGTGCACACATTTACATATTTCTTTTTACATTATTTGTAACAACGGGTTAATACGATAACGGATGCACAAACAACTTCGTGTAACCTGGGAGTGGAGCGGCGACGAATCGCGAATGACGCGGGCAATTCTTATTGAGTGTCGAATGGAGGGCATTTACATTAAATGCATTGATAAAAATAAGCGACAAATTATATGGCGCCATTTTACTAGGTTTTTTGTCATTTCTGAGAAACTAGTTGGCAGAAATTATAAATGGATCTTGCGTTTCGACGCATTCAACACAGTCTTTGGTGGATAAAAACACAGTATTAGTCACCTCGCTTGTTAGTTTCGCTTGATACGTTTTTACGCCTAAATCGCTGATTTTTTAGATGAAATTTCGTAGAGATGTTTAGTTGACATTCAAATTTAATAATTAATACACTGTAATTTGTATAAGAGAGAAAATGGAGATTATTGTTGATTCGAACGCAGCAGACTTGCAAAAAAGATAAGTAATTTTAAAAGCAACGCATTTCTAAGGTTTTGCAGGGATCCAGTTACAAAAGCCTGTACTTAGGTCACATTTCCAATCCCTGTTCGTTATTTCTCGTGCCTTATTACACGAGGTCTACAATAAATGGCGAAAAGCGGGTGTGTACAAAAATAAAATTAAGTAAGTATGTTATATATCATGTACTTTTGATAGTTTCATTGGTAGTGAAGTTATTAAAACCTATCACAAAATTAAATGCATTGACCTTTGGTCTGTTGTTGTTTGTAAAAAAGGTCAACTGGGTGAAATTTATAGGCGCTGAATGTTTAAGTTAAAAGGTCACAGGTAGGTTGCGTAACTACGTTTTTCCAAAAGCTATGTAACTATGTTGTAGGTACGTACTTATAAGTAGTTGGTACGGAATTATAATAGGTATTTAATACTAAGACTGTCTACAAAAATCGATTGAAGGCAAATCCTGAGTCATTGATGCACCTATTACAGTGTTAGTATTATGAAGGAGAGTCATACTTCCGCACGAATAGGCCGGCTCGACCGGATTAATACCACGGTCTCACAGAAAAGCGGTGTCAAACAACGTTATGCCACTAACTTTTCACTTTGTGGGTAAAATTAACGGAGTTCTAACCTTTCAATCGTCGAATCTACGAGATATTCAACTCCCGAACCCCAAGGGCTGAACCAGAGTCCGGCAACGCACTTGTAACGTGTAAATTAACGCGTTATAAACATTCATCTTGTCACAAAACAGAGATTCAACCAAATACAGTTTTTTTTTTTCGTAAATTACTATGCATAGATGCGCTCACGCAACAGCTAAGTGCATGAAAGAAAAGCAAGTAATTAGCTGAAGTCTAATTAGAGTGGGATTACGAAACTTACGAGACTGTAAAACACGATTTGTAACAAAAAAATACACAAATAGTTACTACGTTACTAGTTTACAAGCAGAGACGGATTAAGGTAGGTGAGCGCCCTGGGCAAGCTCCTCACAAGCGCGTATTTTTTTTATAGATTCGCTTCCACGCTTCACACGCCGCCTATGGTTACGACTACTCTGTGGCGCCCCATTGGGATAATTAATGCGGCTCTGTTTATAAGCAAACTAAATGTTGACGCCCCAATCACTTGCCTCATTAGCCTTTGGGATGATACGGCCCTGTTTATAGGCAAACTGAATGTTTTCCTTTTAATACTCGACATTTTCTTTACAACGATTGTAAAATGCACTTACAGGTTCTTATTTCATGTATCCAATGAAAATGACTGCCTGCCTACTGCACAGCGAACCAGAATCTATATCTCTTATTATTGATCATCATAATAATATAATAAATGTGAATGTTCATGGGGATTCATAAAATGGATAATTATAATGCATGCCCCTTTCATCCTGGGTGAAAGAGATTGACGACAGACTTGTTGCCCTGTGCTGCGGCAACAAAGAGCAGTATAAGGCTATCCTTGTCCACAACCACAATAATAGTTCAGAATGATACAAAACAATAGCAATGTGCAAACTTCTGGCATAAGTCAGTTCTCTTATTAATTTTTTTGTTTGTTTTACCTATCAATCAGTTGAACAGTAATGGAAGACGATTCTGATCAGTCATTAGCATCAATTCACAAATAAAATTGCTAGCAACGAAATAAACAAAAGTGTGAAGTGTCAGTAACAAATACATGAGAATACATTTAGGAAGTGAATCATTCTGTTTGGTGATAACATAATCAATGACTTTACTGTAGAAGTCAAATGATTACATACATAAATAAAACAAATATATTTGGGCTTTTGAGTACGTGAAATGTGAAAAGGATTTAATGAAAGAATGTTTATTTATCTAAACTCTTACTAATATTATTAAGAGCCAAGCAGCGGGTGAAACCTCCCGAGAATAGCTAGTTAAAGAATATTTAATTAAGAAATTACATATGCAATAAAAACTATATTTTACTGTTATGATGCGCTACTGACATTAATTTTGTTCTATTTTTTTTTTTATATTTTTGTAATTTTATCTACATAGGAGTGGGGCTCATAAAAAAGTGTAGAATACATGAGTTTTGCTTTCACTTATAGCTATAACTACATCTATTTGGTCTGACTACTGGAAGAACAGAAAAAGAAGACAATATAATGATATTTTAAGTTAGAGTAACTCCAGTTCCACTGGAACGATACTACGGCATTACAGATTACCAGTGTGGTTCTGTTGTGTTTTGCCCTATACTCAATCTCACAAAAGTTCCACATAAGCATTCCGTAACAAAAATAAAAACTTAACTGCGTTTCAATACACCTTTACTGAAGTTATTTGCTGATTCATAGTGGTGTTGTTGTATTGGAATTCCATTGTTAATTTAAGTTTTCCAATTCTAGGCTACAATAATTGTTTCCATAAGATTGAAAATTAAATATATATATCAAATTATTATAAAGTTAAGTTTGATTGATTGAGCTACCCTCTGGTTTTGATTGAATTTAACCCATTATATTTACATGTTGGATTGTTCATTTATTGAGGAACACTACATTCTACAACCTATACGAGTTGAGCAGTGGATGAAACCATACAGGATTATCTAGTTTAATTTAATTTACCTCAGGCTAATATTATTTCTTATTATAACTAACAGTAACAAAATACTTTGCAGTTGTTGAATCACAATTAATTATATTTTGACTGCAGTAGACTGTTATAACATTATAATTAGATATCTCTTGTGCCAGAAAGTTTTTATCTTATCTCTGTTTACATTTCAGATAGTGTGAAAGTTGAAATTCATGTGATTGTGATTACTCTGACCTTGTATCTAATTTGTAAATGAAATTATGAAACATATAACAATAAATATATTTGTTTTAGATCATATTCAGCCATTTCTACATTTATTTTCCTCAAAAATCAACCATTTAATATTTGTAGTCTATAATAGAACCAAAATAGAAAGTACAGAAGAAAAATAACTATGAATAAGGTCTATAAAATTAGTATGGAACTTGGACATTTATTGCTGTATTTTATAATGACAGCCACAGCAACTACGAATTTTTAAAATTTATAATAATTTAAAATGTTTTCAGCTTCTATGTAGTGGTATTATAAAATAAAGCAGAAAAGATAAAATAATATCATTCAAAAATAGAATAAATAAAGAGTAGTACTCACTGGCATTAATTAGATTCGCGCTTTTATATTCTATACGGGGGTCTTCGAAGATCTTGCTATGTGTTGGATTCAAGAAGGCCAGTTGTGGGGGAGTTTTGTCCACAACGCGCAGTCCGCTGACCAGGTCATTGGATATTAAGTATTCCACAAGGTTCCGACCGATGAAACCGCACCCTGAATCAAAATCACACCGTCAACCGACGAAAAAGAATCTTCTCTGGCCGGATGACTAACACTCTAGGACCGTTACAAGAATTAAAAAAAAAACATGTCACTTTATACTAATAAATAAAAAACTGATACAGCTGTATTTTTGGTAAGTTTCAGTCCGAATTCTCCAGGTTAGTAAAATTAATTACCTCCTAAAACCAAAACTCGTGGTTTTGAATTATCACCGGCACAATCAGACATTTCGCTAGCCGTTTCACAAAAACGAATGACAGTTAAGTTTTGACAGATAATCCGACAGGCACTAGTGATAAGTGTTACCAGTGTAAGGAAAACTTTGCTACTAATTTGAAGTCACAGAAACATAAAAAACTATGGTCTTAAGTTGTTAGATTTTTTTTAAAAAAGGGAAATAAAACAGACATGTTTCGTAATAAATAATGGTAAACTATATTTACAACATCGTCTCTTCACATAGTCTTAAAATTAAGTTCTATACTGTGACAATATTGATTTTCAATACAACCAATTTGTCGATTATTGACTAAAACATACACTTTATCACGCCGTCACGCCACATATTTCAATACAATTAATGTGGGTTCGGGAACCTAAAACGGTTCGATAGTAAGTCTTATCAAGAATGTCGTAACATTCTAACAACATAAGCCTCAATACTGATCCCCATCAGGTCGGGAATATTTTAAACAAACATTGCCTACATAATTAATTACTTAAATATCTTAATCTTTAGGGTTTTCAGCATCTTCTGCATGGTTTTGTTCTCCTTGGCTTATGCTTTTCAATTTGGATTCTGATGGCAAAAACGTTGCAACAACGAATCCAGCTGCAACAAAAATTTAAACATTATAAGTACTAGTTCAAAATCGAAGTTTGTTTATTTAATCCAACTATTAATAAACAAAAATGTTGCAAATACTCTCGCATAACACCCTCATACCAGAAGAGAACACTCTTATTAAAAGGTTACTATTTTCTACTTCTACGATTATGTGAGTTAACTATCACCAAGTAATCTACATTCACTTGACAGTTTTGATATTTCATAAAATAAATTATATATTATATCCTATAACTATACTTACACATAACTAAGACAATGTATCCACTTATCATTGGTGTACAATATTCCCCAAGGAGATTGGCGATGATTTGCACGCTGAAAAATCCTGAGCCACGGGCTATTACCACCGCTAGACATGTCGCCATACTCCTGAAATAATAACAAACATTCTTTAAATATTTTGACGTCGATTTATACACTGATTTTCGGTCAAAAATTGTACATTTAACTAACTGATTCTGGAATATATTAAAAAGGTGGAAGAAAATACAAACCTTAAATGTGTAGGGTTCAGCTCGACTAAATACGTGTTAATATTGCCCAAGACTTGAGCAACGTATAAGAACATGAAGAACAATGCTATGCTAAGCATAGGGACTTTGACGAATAGCAGCAGGGTCCCAGCGGTAAATGACATGACGAAGATGGCAAGAGTGATGATTTTCTTGCCAACAATGCCCACTATGAAGGAGATAGTGACCATCAACATTGTTGAAACTCCAGAATACACCATTGTAGCGTAAAGAGCTCCAGTTTGGATACTATTAGAGCAGTCTTCTATTTCAGTGCCGTTACTGGATCCAGTTGTGGCACTTTGACTAGCGACCTCACAGAACGTGCGACCGTGGTGGCTTTCATCGCCAGTGAAATAAGCGTTGGTCATAGTTGGCACCCACATGGTGAAACCAGTTGATCTAAAAGTAGAATATTAAATTAAAAAGAAGAATATGTAAACTTGAAATAGTATGAAAAATCTGTTACCTATTTGACTAATTTAAAAATGTTATAACTTACGTGGTAAAGGCGGAGAGCAGTAAATAGAAAAGTATGGCAGAGTTTTTCAATAGCGGAGGTTTAAACAGGGGGGCAGTTTGGTTCCAGATCTTCTTTAATAAAGAAATTCCAGCAGAATTGTCTGCTGTAGTTTCATTGAGATACACTTCTTTTACCTGAAAATAAAAACGTGTATCACAATCATCAGATCCACACTGTAAGTTATTTTACGGAGAAGTCAAGTGAATAATAAACATGAACTTTGAAAAATTGTTAAAATTACCGGATAATTTTCCATATTTTCGCCAGAGTTGTATTTGTAAATAATCTTCAAAACTTTTAAGGCTTCTTCATCTCTGCCTCTACTGAGCAGATACTTGGGGCTTTCTTGCAGGAATATCATGAATATGATCCCCAACGCACAAGGAATGCAGACGATTTGCAATAGCATTCGCCATGGAGTATACACCAAGCCCAGCCATGAAATCTCATAGCCGAAAGTCAGCGTAAATATCGGTAAAGCGAAGGCTGAAAGCAAAAAATAGGTTATTAAATACTGTACTATATTTTCGAAGTTAGTGGTTCTATTTAATATTTGATGATTTTATACTTTGTACATACATATCTATTCTGTCCATTTATAACATCTTACTACAGAAGCCAATTGTGGGACACCAAGCTTCAGCACAACTGGGTCCACACGACAGGAGTAGGATACCACGGCCTCACAAAAAACCGGCGTGAAACAAACAAAGCGTTGTTTTCCGCGGTGTGAGTGAGGTTAATCGGAGGCCAAAACCTTCCCCTCCGCCAATCCCTAAATCTCCAAACTCCTTATCCCCTCTGTTGTTGCGGTTGTCAATGTGCGACGCTGATTGCTTACCATCAGGTAAACCGTCTGCTGGTTTGCTGTCCTATCACATTAAAAACATTCAAAATACTAACAGCAAATAAGGAGTTGTTCCACCATTGTAGCGCTGGCCATGAGGATTACAAATCGACTGCGATGTCTGCTCGGTACACTTTCAGCTAGTAAGACAAAGGCAGCTGCGTTGGCCGCCGCTGAACTAGAAATTAATAAAACATGTTTATTGCTTATCAAAGATATTAAATATCATCAAGTTTTTAGATATTCAGGATACATTATAAAACACTTCATATACAAAGAGTAAAATTAGTTAATTAAAAAAACAATGGGTGGGATGCTTAAATTTTGATTGTTGCTATATAAAAAAAGAGTTTGGAAATTGGTAGGTTTTATGGAAGTACTTACAATGAAACAGAAAAGAACTTGAAAATTGCTAATAGCGCGAAGGTAGGCGCCATGGTAGTTGCAAGACTGAGAATTAAGGCGGCTGGCATTGCTATAAGCAATGTTTTCCGTCGACCTTGTGTGTCGGAGCATAAACCCCAACCGTAGGATGATACAATCATACCTAAAAAAAGGGACAGATTGACATGGCTTAGCTGTGGTTCTCCTAGGCATAAACCTTTAAAAAATTGTAGTAGGTAGTTGTTTAAGCCTTTTTGAGTTTATCTTACCTATAAGGGGTATAGCAGACAGTAGACCCTGTTGTGAAGTATCAAGAGCCATATCACAAGCCATGGCTGGTAAGACCACGGAGAACCCGAACATGTCCAGGTTCATAGAGAGAATAAGCAGGCAGCAAGCTATCAGCATACCAGCATTGTATTTGCCGAAACCTGGGAAAGAATATCTTGTTAACGTATCTTTCCATCATTTAAATTTGCAGGCTATTTAAGAAACATTAAAGATTTTAAAATAACCGTCCAAAGTAGGTATGTTAGAGCCATCGATGGACCATCCAATGATTATGTTTGATGACGGTACATCTGAAGGAAACCAGTTGACCACCCATGGATACCGTCAACATCACAATAGTTGGGTACTAAAAGGATTACTGTAACACACACATATTGCTTTCTTCTAATTACGCGGTCATGGGCTAGCCACTTCTTGCCATCTAGCGGGTTCGTACTGCGCATCTATCTGCCGGGGCAGTATCATGTTTCCGAATGCATTAACGGCCTTTTGAGAGTTAGACATTTTGAAGACTGGGAATTAATGTAGTTATAATAAGACAGGTTTGGATCTACAGCAATCTCAATAAAAAATAACGCAAACGTTGTAAGCAGATTTTCTATGAGGGTGTGGTGATATCGGTGGAGCCTTCCTATTCATGCCGCAGTTAAGAGTCTTCAGCCGGGGTTGCGGGGTCAAAGAGGGACCGCGACCTCGGCCCAGAGCAGGAGAAGGAACGGGGGCGTTTTTAGTCAGTAAGAGTCAGACACTCCCTTTTTTTTGTGAGAGGAAAATCATCAAATGACTTCTCCCGCCCAGGGTCGGGCGGGAGGGAGTGTCAGACTCTTACTGACTAAAAACCCCCCTGTTCCTACTCCTGCTATAGGCCGAGGTCGTGGTGCCTCATTGCGCTTACCCCGCAACCCCGGCTGAGTCAGACACTCCCGAGCCCGGGCGGGAGAAGAGATTTGAAGATTTTCTCATCACAAAAAAAAGATGAGTCTTCAATAGAAATCATGACTAAGTATTCAGTCGGCGTTGCGGGTGCTATCGTAATAAAGTACCACGGCCCGGCCCGAATCAGGTGAAGGAACGGGGGTGGTTTTGAGTTAGTAAAAGTCTGATACTCCCTCTAGCCCCACCCAGGGCGGGTGGAGCTATATGATGATTTCCACCTCAAAAAAGGTTGTGATTATAAATCTATAATAAGCTGGCGTATTGCGTGATATTGTGCAATTACACATTAATCTTTGGTAATTTATAAATTCACATGGAATTGATACGATCGTCAAGTGATTGCTCATTTCGTGATTTTACAAAATTCATTTCTGCAAAGAATATACATTTTCAATTAGTTCTGATTGCTGATTAACACAATTTGGTAATTACTAGTTTCACGATAGCATCTTGTTTGATTACCGATTTTTTGATTATCATGATTTATTGTAGATCAATCATTTTCATTTTTTTTTCTTACTTAAAGTTGTTGGAAATTTTAAAAGATTTTTTCTATAGGGGTTAGTATCCAACTATTTTCCAGATTGTTTCTAGTAGATATGTAGGAGCATAAAATTCTTTTTCTGAATGTCAAGCTTACTTTTCTGTTTTTTTTTCAACCTTCAACCTTCCTTTTCGTCTTCCAAAAGGATCAATTTTTATCTCAATTAGACCGTAGGTTCAAACTAAGTACCTATTATAGGTTAAACTTGCACTAATGCTGAACTAGAAATATAAGCTACAAAAAATCTACCACGTTATCTAAATTGTCTTATTATGATCGACCGGTGGTTACGACTAATACGCGCCAATAATTACACAATAATTAGATTTGTTTACATCCTTATCAGTATAACGCTTTGTTATCAACTGAGATTCGCGCACTTAATCGTTACGGTTTTAGTAAAGTCATGTGTTTTTACTTCCTTAGGAAATTATAATATCTATTGTGACAAAAATATATTTTTACAGGTAGGTAGTAAGTACTTTTTTAGGATTTTTTTTTTCTTAGAATTCTGGTGAAGAGTTTTGTACTTAACGTTAGAAAGGGTTTTTAACTTCTCCCTCCATGAGTAGGATGAAGAAGCGTCAGACTTTTACTGAATAAAAACCGCCCCTTTCCTCCGAGCCGGGACCGTGGTCTATAAAGTACTTATTGCACTTGTACTCGCCATTTTCCCATTCACCCTATTTCCCTCCAATTTGTTAAGCATAGCCAACTGGCTAAGCAAACTTGTCTTTATAAGGTTTTCGGCACCAGTAACTGTTTAATAATACCTTTGAGGTCTGCGGGCCAAGCTACTATGCAGTTTTAGAGAACGCAATATAGTTTTCTTCAGTACCTTTATTAATTTTTTTTTGTGAAATGTTACTTGATTTTTTTTTTTGCTACAAACATTAATAGTTGCACAGAATATTTTTATATTATGCTTAAATCTTTTAAACTGCGCAACGGATTATGATCCGTTTTTAATAGGTAGTGTCCATTAAATTGTGAAGAATCGGCAATGCGCCCGTGCGATGCCGGGGAGGGTCGCTAGTATCCAAATTAATATTATAAATGCGAAAGCAACTCTCTTTAACTGTCTGTCGTTTCTTCATGCCTAAACTACTAAACCTATTCGTGTAAAATTTGGTACAGATATAGTTTGGACCTCGAGAAAGGACATAGGGTAGTTTTTTAACCAAAATCTGCAGGCAGTCACTATTCCACGCAAACGAAGTCGCGGGCAAAAGCTAGTCAAAATAATTAGGCTCAAAGATCCAAACATATTAAAAATGACACCATAAAATGTAGAAAATCGAAGGAAACGAATGTTTGAGTTAGATGAATTGAACGCAATCATTTTAGTTTTCTTTTTAATTTATTCACTTTCTTTCGGTGTCTAGTCGTTAACTCGACGCGATATAATTTTGTCATTTTTCTACTTTTCAATAAACCTCTTATTGATTGTATTTATTATGCCATAGGTATGCAGAAGGAAAGTTGAGTACTTAATTTTCCTTCACATATCACGAGTAATTTAGAACTATCAAAGCAATCCTGTAATTATATAACGGTACTACGCGAAGCTGCGGCGAATTTTTATTTAACAGTCGTATAGTCGATTTTATGTATTTTATAGTGCTCTATTATACCTACCCTAAACCTAATTTTCTGCCTTATTATAACAAATCAAAACCAACTTACCCGTAAGGTCCAAAGCATTTTCGTATGTTGTTTTTTTTGAAAGAGTCTCTGGAGTAACGAACGTCATTTTTAAAAACTTAAATTTAGAATATCACAGTAAAAAAAATATAAGAACACAGGTCTTTAAATTTGTAAGGTTAATATTTTTTAAAACAATATTATCTATTTATTTTTAAAATTACTCTAAAATTTATTATAATTATAATATTATAAATTTTATAAAATATGCTTTAAAAATTGGGCTACTGTCCACCATGTATTAGTAACGGACTATAGAATAGTATGAATCCTATCAGGCATCGATTTGCGCTTAAATATAATGAGTAAATCAAGTGATTGATTCATCAGATAACTGTGACTTGCAGCTTTTAATTATCAACATAACACAATTGATTTCATTACACTCTTGTCAGGCGTGCTATAGAGAAAAAATTACGATACGATACATGGAAAATATTTCATAGATAAAGGTCCTAAATGCACTTTTCAAATAGTATTTCTGATAGATCCTCAGACCTTCAAGAAACGAACGTATATGGAGTCCGTCTATTTCTTGAAGGCTGGCAACTGTGCCCATGGACGGATAATGGAGGCGTTAATCATACCATCCTCAGATGATCCGTTTTCTTATTTGAAGAGATAAGCTTGTTAAAATAAAAGTCAGCTTCAAAAAGTGATTTTATCCTTAGTAAAATGATCTGTAATAATTGCAAATACAGTCGATAGCTGTCTGATCAAATTGTGTTCCAATTCATATTAAGAGTAAGTGTCTTTCACAGTCATTTATCTGCTATATATGAGGAAGCTTCGACACGAATGGGTCGGCTCGACTGGACACAGCGTTGTTTTTCGTCGTGTAAGTAATCTCTGAAACCCTAATGCCCAAAAGGCCAGCTACGCACACAAGTTACCTAGGTACTCCTTCCGACGGCGCCGATTGCTTACCATCTGCAATTAACATGCTTGTTAGCAGACCTATCACATAAAAAAAGGAAGAAACGTCTCTGTAGCATTTTCTTCCCTTCAAGGAAGGTAAAAGTAGAGTGCATATACATACCTGCCGGTACATCACGGCTTTAAAAAACTATTAAACTATAAAGCTGAAAGTTCATAATATCCGAAAACATATCTACTCACCTCCTTTTTGAGTTTAGTTTTTAACATTTTTGGTTTGAGATGGGGCTCAACATGGCCATCTCACCCATATAGGGTTTCTGCTACGAAAGAGAGCAATTTTTAACGTATTAAAAAGTGGTTTTGTCATATTTTCTCGAAGGTCTTTCGTGCACGCTACTGTCACATTCAGTTTAGAAAAACATAATATTAGAAACCACAATATCATTTTCGAATACCACACACAAACATACATTTGTTTTTTTGGGGTCTGTGTGTGCAGTGCAGTGTACGGTTTCAACAGTATAAGTAGTCCTTATAGTTTCGGAAAAATGAGAGATAAGATATTACAAGTGCGTTGGTGGCGTCCTGTGGATTGTTAAGGATTTGAGGTTAGAGCATTTGAGGATTGAGGATTGGGGGCTTGAGCTTTGGCAAAACACAACATAAGTGTGGCTCCACATCGTTTTTCTATGAGGCCGTGGTATCACGGCGGTCGAGCCGGCCTATTCGTGCTGAGGCATGGCTTCCTGCACTTAAACCGAAGGGTCTGAAGGTTTGCCAGCTTATCCCATAAAAAGGTACTTAATTTTATTTATCAATGAAAACGAAAATAACAATTCATAAATCACTGTATTTGATTACAGGAAGATTACCTTTTTATCGGCACGATTCGCTTTGAATATGGTTTTAGTACAAGCAAAGATATAGATTAACAATACAACTCTATTCAATCTACTCTATCGTAATCAGAGATCTAATTAATCTGCCGACATCTGTCATGTACAGACTTATTCATTAATTGTTGATTAAATATATTCTACACAATATTATGCAACATTTTATTTTGTTGCGTCGAACTTTGGTCGTATTGGGAATTCCAATGTGAAGAGGATTCTTATCGGGTCGTGGTAGGTATATTGTAAGATTGTAGAATGAGTATGGTTCGGATCCGTTGGAGTTAAGGGCAAGGCTAGCTTACTGAAGGTGTATACGGCATATGGCAGGAGTTTGATAAAGGTGATTTTTATTCAATAAGAGTCTGACACATCAGGGCGGGTAGACGCTACCGATGATTTTCCATCATCACAAAAACGGCTTACGATTAGGATACATGATTTTATGTCTTCTCTTTTGGGGGTGTAACTAATAGCTTTATCCTGTTACATATTAAATAGCAGCATACTTAGCATAACATGATGAAAGAGACAGAGATATAGCAAAAAAAAAAAAGCTTAAATATTTCGTCTTATTTTTTTCCATGTAGCTTTACTTTGCTGTACCTTTGCAACGTGAGATAAGGAACTTCTTTCCAAAAACTTTTTTCGGGAAGGAGTTACTTAATTTGCACGTCACATTTACGACAATTGCAGTATTAATCAATCATTTGGCAAAGTAATTAGGCGTAACGTAACGTAATATTAGATTAGATGTTCTGATAACCTGTGATAATCTCTATCTATTAAAAACATCATTTATTTGACACGTGAATTGACGATACGTGTCATTCTTATCCTGCATTAGTGTCCATCGAAGAATTTTTGGACTACCTGCTTTCTTTTTAACTTGTGTTTTAGAAGATATAATTGACCTAATATCGAATTTGCTTTTTGGTGAGCCAAAAACCATCAAATGACTTCTCCCACCCAGGGTGTAGTGAGAGGGAGTGTCACACTCTTACTGACTAAAACCCCATGTTCATTCTCTTGCTCTAGGCCGTTGTGTTATTGCGCTTGCCCCGCAACCCCGGCTGAATTTTCTCTTCAGAAGACTCTTTTCGTTTCCAGAACTTTTGTTAAGTTTCCTTTGCACTACTAAATTATATTTTACGGATGCCTGTGACCAGCTGTCACCAGCTGTAGACAGTTATTTGAATCGGTTCATTTATAAGTGAGTTGACATATATCATAGACTCATTTTCACATTGATAACACCAAACTGTATTTCGGATTAATGCAGTGATTTGCAGGTTTATGTTTAAATAACCAATTAAGATAACCATGAATTAAGTACTCACAACTTTGTTTTATAAATTTCGGCGATTTCGTGTTATTATAGCAAATAATACTTTTTACAGGTTTTTACAGGAGTGATATACCATGGCCTCGCAGAATACGTACGTTTAAGTTAACCGTGTGAGTGAGGTTACTGGACTCCATCACCCTCATTCTCAATATCCACATCCTCTGTCCTGAAACCCCTTTTTTCTGAGGGGAAAATCATCAAATGACTTCTTCCGCCCAGGGTCGGGCGGGAGGCAGTACCAGACTATTACTGACTAAAAACCCTCGTTCCTTCTCCCGCTCTGGGTCGAGGTCGCGGTGCTTTGTTGCGCTGTCTGTGGTGGTCTATTGGCTGTTTGAAGCGAACTAGCTACCCTTATTTAAAAACCACCCCGTTCCTTCTCCAAGTATCAAATATGCCCATTAAACGGGAAAACTTAGGACACGATCAAGGGACGATCCCCGGTCACATGAGGCGCGGGTCTGCAGTAGGCGAGTAAGGGTAACTCGCCGCCCGACCAGAACCAGACCCGAGCGTACGGCGCGTATCGTTCCGCGCGCGCCTCAAAGAGCCAATAGACCACCACAGACGGGGCCCCATAGAGGCGATGTTCAGCGGGGTTGCGGGGTAAGCGCAATGAGGCACCGCGACCTCGGCCCAGAGCAGGAGAAGGAACAGGGGGGTTTTTAGTCAGTAAGAGTCTGACACCCCCCCGCCCTGCCCTGGGCGGGAAAACTCATTTGATGATTTTCCCCTCACAAAAAAAAAGACACGATAAATGAATGAAATCAGTAGTACCTATTTGATTAAAATCGTGAAAGTTATCTTTCCGGTTAGATTCGGTTCAGTCCAGCTCTTAAAACTTTAAATTTATTTTTTATTTTAACTTAGATAATATCTTTCAGACGTTGAAACTATCTATTTCAACAATCTCAGTTATCTTCAAAAATCCCAATGATGTCTATATTTATTTATAGAATAAAAAATATTTACATAATGTTGTGCAACTTCTTTCAATTAATTATTTCATTAAAATAATACGTAGATACGTAGAAAATAGTACCTACTTAATACGGAAATGTGTAACAGAATTTTAAAATAAACATGATTTATCTAAGTAAGTACAAAATAATTAGATATTATTACGCCAAAAAATCCTTCATGTGACCATAAAAGTCAAAATCATTTATTCCAACTAAACCATAAATAGGTACTTTTGAAATGCTAAAATAGAATAGTAGTCTGTCAGTCTGTTCGTGAGTGATGCTCCAAATTCCAAATAGTAGATTCAAATGGAGAAGAACGAGACAAGTTGTAAAAAAAGAACAGATGATGGGATCTATCATTAAAATTTTAATCTTTTGCCGTCTCGAACATGGCGATCACATATGCGTACTCACAATCTTTACGATTGCTTCTTTAAAAACTCTTTGGATATATTAATTAAGGATTAATTAATTTTAAGAATTTTAGTAACTACTGACTTTATTCGAGTTTTGTCCAGTGAAGCCGAATCAACACGCTGCCAAGCATTCTTATCCTCAATATAATCTGAAAGTTTGTAGTATGCCTGTCTACACATTCGCATTTAATATAAGTTTTAAATTTTCGTTCGTTAAGATTCAAAACACTTCTTGGAATTTCATTGTAACAACTTACACAGAACCCCATAAAGGATTTCTGTAATTTGGATAGACGTCTGTCTGTCTGCCTGTCTTTGCCTCTTGTATTAAAATTGTGTCTATCACTTCTTTTTTCAAAACACTGCAAATTTTTCCTGACGTACATAATATTTTCATATATAAACTGACAGGGCACCGTTAGGATATTTATCGTTTTAAATAGTTTTGTCAGAGATTCACGACGAGGGCTAAGTTATATATCTGTCGGATAGTCCGCTTTGTAGAATAAATATTCATTCTACTTCCGCAGCTCGATTATCATTCGGGAAACGAAAGCGCAGAGTAACAGTTTGTTCGCCCATAAAAATGGGTGATGATTGAGGATGGAATGTAAAGAAATACCTCCTACACCTCGGCCAACCTAAACAAGGAAGTCAAAAAAAAGTATACACCAAATAGTAAGCTTCAAACCGTTTCAACTAAAAATCGCGGGTTACTCACGTGTATAAATTGAGAAAAGCTCTACTAGTTTCGAACCACAGAGGGGTTCTTCCTCATGAGCAGCGTGCGCGGACGCGGCGACGTCGCCGAGAGCTTTTCTCAATTTATACACGGGAGTAACCCGCGATTTTTAGTTGATTTAGTATATCTCACGATAGTTATTATTCAAACCGTTTGTCAGCGAAAAAGCAACCAATGCCCATATCTCGTTAAGTCTAAGTTTGAGCCGTTCAGCCAGCGAAGGATGTACTTACCGAAGTTAGTTAAATTATAACGGCTTCACGTAAATTAAAAATAAGCGTTTCTTTAGAAGTATTAAGGTATAATTTTAACGACTAAATCAAGAAACAAATAGGTAAACTGTAGTATTTTAAAATTATCTACTGAAACAACCTCTAAAATCTACAATGCGTTTAGAATTTAGAATATAAATAAATAATATACCGATACCTTCTTAGTGATTTGGTCCAAAGAAATTAATTAAATTATAAAATATGTAAGGCATAGTTAAAAAAATAAATAAAGACGAGACACACAATAAAAGATTTATTGGGTCTAATCTATATTTTAAAAACTAAAAATGGTTGACAGTTCACATTTTGACAAATAAAATAGTGACCGCCATAACATAATGTTACCAGAATATTCCAACTTTTTTCTACCAATTTTATTTAAAATGCTTTCCTTAAATTAGCATTAATTAGTTAACGCAACATCCGCTACTTAAAAAAGAGTAATTATTTTATAATAGAAACTAATTTAAACAGATATCTGATATTTAGACAGATAAATCAGATTAGGATTTAAAAAAAACAACAGTTTTATTACAAAATCGTACTAAAACGGCTTTAAGTTTATTTTAGTTATATTGTACTTATGGTTTTCCGAATAAAACTAATCTGTGGAAAGTAAATAAAACCAAATATTAATTTAATACAGCAAATATATTGACAGCTTGGTAAGTCAATACAAAATCATAACATTTTTACATTAATCATACTGTGACAGACAAATTAATATCTATACTATCTATATAAGATAATATTATAAAGATGTAAAATTTGTAAAACATAACGCTAAGATTAAATGGACCCGAGCAGCGGGTGAAACCGCATGAGAATAGCTAGTAGGTACCTAATAATTTAAATTCGGGCTAAATAAATTCCTACGCTATCTGCATTGACTAAATAAATCCTTCTTTATCAATGTCTGTTCTACAATAAAGTACAAAAAATACTTACTTCTTATAAACATTCGGACATTGTGATGGTACCGATAAACAAATAAATACTTTGCTTTAATATAATATATGTATATTATTACCTACGTTTTAAATCTTGTAAATACAAATATTTCACTATACCTATATATCAAGGCAAGGACATAAAAAAGGAACTTTCTTCTTCATTTCAAGAAGACAAGAACTGTAATAATTTTAAATATTTCAATTGACTTGTTAAAAAGCACACATACAATTCAATAATCCTAATATCATAAAACCTACGTCGGAAACCTAAAACGGTCCAATAATAATACTAAAAAAGAATGTCATAGACATTCGAACTAATAATTTCAACACTAATCCCAAGTATGAGAAAAGGCCAGATCATAATTAAAATTAATAAAATACTAATAAGTATTAAGACGAATAACATTAATTAATTATTATGCTTAATGGCTTGCTCATGTAACTGTTCGACGGGGTAATTTGACAAGTTTCAGGTCACGCTAGGGGCTTATAGTCTTGAGTACCGCGACATATAATGCGGCTAATTTTTTTATGTGATAGGACGGTAAAACGAGCGAATGGATTACCTGATGGTAAGCAATCAGCGTTGCCCATGGACACCCGAATCAACAGAGGAGTAACGAGTGTGTTGCCGACGTTTTGGGGATTAGGGATTAGGAGATTTTGGGATTGAGTCTTCGATAACCTCACTCACACGGCGAAACACAACGCTGTAACTGTTTCACGCCGGTTTTTTGTAAATGGTATCATTCCGGTCGAGCTGTCCCATTCGTGCCGAGGCATTAGTTTGATTATTAGTCGAGTTACTTCGTCCAACAGTTGTGTGAGAAAGCTGTTTTCTCTAATAACTAATACTTATTATTGATCTTAATCTTTAGGATTTTCAATATCTTCTGTTTCATTTCTTTCTAATTCATTCTTTTGTTCTGTTGGGTTGGAGTCAGAAGGTAAGAATGTTGCGACAAGGAATCCAGCTGAAACAAAACCGAAAATCAATTTACAAAATTATTCACTACAAAATTGTGGCACTAAATTATAGGTACATTATACTTATGCTATGAAGCAAACAACAAGGTTGGGGTTTTTTTTTGTGAGGGGAAAATCATCAAATGACTTCTCTCGCCCATAGTGTCTCTTACTGACTAAAAACCCCCCCGTTCCTTCTCCTGCTCTGGGCCGAGGTCGCGGTGCCTCATTGCGCTTACCCCGCAACCCCGGCTGATTGGGAGTGATGCTCCAATATTCCAAATCACACCCAGCCTTGGTTGTCGGTTAGAAAAGTTATTAGTCCATGCGGGATTTAACCCTTAACTGATTGCGCAACAGTCACCATTTTGCGCAACCCACTGCGCTAATACATGTGCCGCAATTTTGCTACCGGGTAAGTCATTAAAATTCAGATTGTTAGCAAAAAAACAAGCTAGTAAAATAACTATGAATGTATCAACTTACACATAACTAAAGCGACGTATCCACTTAGCATGGGCATGCAGTATTCACCAAGCAGGCTCGCGATGATCTGTACGCTGAAGAAACCAGAACCACGCGCCACTACCACGGACAAACACGTTGCCATGCCCCTAAAGAAGTAAAACGAAAAACACGTAGTAAATAAATTAAAATTTGTCTTAGGTACGCTAGGTTAAATAATAGTGCTATTCGTTAGTCTCGTTAAAACTTGAGAACGGCTGGTCCATTTTGGATAAGTTTCGTCCTAAAATATTTGTTCCAGTCCAGTGAAGGTTTAAAAGTGACATATAACTGATTAAATTTAAGTCGGCGTAGGTTTAAAGATTTATACATACATAGAGATATAGAGACAGAGAAATCAACTAGGTTTTATACCTTCTATTAGTAAGTGCCTATGTTTTAAATAAGCTAGTAGTTTTCACAATTTATACTTATTCTGATGTGTATAAAATATTACCTTTTACTTTGTCTTATGGTAGAAAACCCATTTTTGAGTTTAATGTGAACAAAGCCATAAAGGAGTTTGTTTTCCAAATACGTAAGAATGAAAGAAGAAGTATGTAAAAATGAAATACGAACACTTTTAAAAGGTACAAACCTCAAATGTGTAGGGTTCAGCTCGACCAGATAAGTATTGACATTGCCCAAAATCTGTGCAACGTACAAGAACACGAAGAACAAAGCGATGCTCAGCATCGGGACCTTGATGAAGAGCAGCAACGTTCCAGCAGTTGAGGATATGATGAAGACGGCGAGGGTGATCTTTTTCTTTCCAAAAACGCCCACAACGAAGGAAAGACAGATCATCAATACTGTTGAAGCGCCTGAGTATATCATTGTAGCGTATAAAGCTCTGGGTTCTATACTACCTGTGCAGTTGCCTATTTCCTGTAAAGATGAGACAAAGATTATTGAAAAGTGCAGAAATTTCATCAAAGGAATTGGTTATGCTATTGCTAGTTCTGTTAGAAAGTGATCATTTATCATTTATTAGGCACAAACTCAAACACCGTGCTTTACCGTGTGAGTAAGGTTACCGGAGGCTTATTCGTCCTCTCCTCTTCCCCTTCCACAATCCCTCTCTAATCCGTTTGCGCATTTGCCGTCCTATCATAAAACAGAAAATGTCCCTTGTTCGGTAGTCGTAATTAATAGACAGATTGTTAAAACAACGCAAATAGAACTTCGACACCTACTCCATTTTATTGTTTTGATATTGAACATAACTTTGTATTATTAACTCGATTAGTAATTAATGAAATGTAAAAATTATTGTTGTAGAAGTGGTAACAAAATAAAAATCACTCACAGTGCCATTACTAGACCCAGTATTTGTACTCTGACTAGCGACCTCACAGAACGTCCGACCGTGGTGGCTTTCATCGCCAGTGAAATAAGCGTTGGTCATAGTTGGCACCCACATGGTGAAACCAGTTGATCTGAAAGTAGTATATTAAATTAGAATTATGTATATATCCAACTGCAAGATATTCCACTTTAAATATAATATTAGATATCAATACCCAAAGTATACATTTTGTTCGTTGAGTTTTTGTGGCCTTAGCAAAAATATCTTTAATTTGGAAGGGCGAAGTTACGGCACGACAGAAGTGATACTAAGGCCTTACAAAAAGCCGGTGTGAAAAAACCACAGCGTTGTGTTTTGTCGAGTGAGTGCGTTTAATGGAGGCCCAATCCTTCCCTTCCCCTATCCCAAAATTTCCGAAATTCTAACCCCCCAAAGATCAGGAACGCACTAGCAACTCCTTTGGCATTGCGGGTGTCTTTGGGATTTAAATAATCTTTAATCCGTCTGCTAGTTTGCCGTCTTAGCACATAACAAAAATCTTTTAAAATTGGTAGGATTGGCGTCCGTACGTGGCATTGATCGCTTACCATCATGTGACAGATTCAAGACACAGGACATTTTCAAATTCTCAATACAGCTTCGCTCAGCCCAAAAATCCTGTGAGCTTTCGCATTATACATATACCTTCAAGTAGTGAAGCAGTCAACAATTTTAAATAAAAAATATTACTATGAACTTACGTCATGTAAGCAGTTAGCAGCAGATAGTACAAAATGGCCGAATTCTTCAATAGCGGACGCTTGAACAGAGGAGCCGTTTGGTTCCAGACCTTCCGTAGCACTGAAGTTTCAGCAGAATTGACTGATAAAGCTTCCTCTAGGTAAACGTGCATGACCTGAAATAGAAAATATTCACACGATGTCACATCATCAGCCCATAAGTGCCCACTGCTGAGCAAAGGCCTTTTCCCACATGGAGAAAATTTGAGCATTAATCACTACGGTTGCTCAGTGCGGATTGGGGATTTCAAACTTATATTTAGAAATTATAAGTCCAGGTGTTTCTTAGTGGTGTCTAAATAATCATAGAAAGTGCATAAAACTTGGAAAAAGTCATATTGGTACTTGCCAGGCTTCGCATCCTCATGCATGAAAAGCAGGTGCCTTAACCTTCGGGCCACCACGACATAGGTGATACGTACGAGAATGTTCATATTTTCATAAGATACTCTAGTGAAAACGTAAAATGGTCATGATAAATTTTTTGTGCGCTTTAATTACGACCAACCATTTATTTAAATCAATATAAATTGATCTGAATATAATAAAAACATAATTATATTACAGTGATCTGATTCATAATAAAATATACAAAGCGTAATCTATTCTGTAGAACGTGGGGAAACTTTATTAACGGTTCCTTTCAACCTGACCTATTGCATATTTTTGTTTTGAAATCAGACTGAAAAAATGAGCAATCACGTGATTTTGTGCTGCACATTTTTTTGTACTAACTCAAAAAAGAAGTTATTAACTCGCCGTGTCAGTAAGACTATCGAAGACCCAATCCCTTCCTCTCAACCCATCCCTTCCCAATCCCTAAATATCCGGAACATTTATCCCCAAAACGCCGGCAACGCGCTCCTAACTTCTTTGTTGTGGCGGGTGTCCATGGGCAAGCCGATTGCTTCTCATCAGGTAATGCGTTTGTTCGATTTCCGACTTATATTATAAAAAAAATTTACTCACAGAATAACTATCTTTCGTCTGTCCTGTGTTGCACTTATAGATTGCCTTGAAGGCCTCTAACGCCTCATCATGCCTGTCTTTACTCAGCAGAAACTTGGGACTTTCTTGTAGGAGAATCATGAAGAGGATCCCTAGACCACCTGGTAGGCATATCACTTGCATCAACAGGCGCCACGGCCTGTACACTACGCCTAGCCAGGAAATTTCGTACTCGAAGTCCAGAGTGAAAATAGGCAAGGCGAAGGCTGGAAAAGAAATGAAACATGTTTAGTAATACATTCAAACCCCAAGCGAGCGCCGGCGTTCGCTCACCTATTGATTTTCTATTGTGTCTCGAATTACCCCGATTGGAAAGTTAATTAAGCTCATATAAATATCGTATTAATAATATTTCGTCAATTACGTAATGTGATATTGTAATTTGAGTAAATGTGTAAGTAAATAAAGTATTTTCAAACTAATAGTCAGGATACGATGATCATTTTAATCTAAAATCTTTACTTAGAATAGGATTTCAAAAAAAAAATGTGTACCTTTGCCGACTTAGTTGAAATAAATTTATGTCATCGAAACTATAATCCTTAGGAGGTGTTTGAAATAATACAAACTTTAAAAATGTTTGGCTTGAATTGAATTCCTTTTTCGTTTATTACTTTGTACTAACTCATTAATTTGTTTCGAAGAAAACACATTATGTGAAATAAATGATTTGAAATGGTCAAATACTAACATAAAGTATAATAATTTATTCATTTCTACTGTCGTGAAAGATACTCACAGCATATAATAAGCTGCACCACCATTGTGGCACTGGCCATGAGGAACATGAACCGGCTACGATGTCTGCTCGGTATACTCTCAGCTAACAGTACAAATGCTGCTGCGTTTGCAGCTGCAGAGCTGGAAACCAAGCAAATAAAGCAGGTGAATAACAGTTAAAAATACAATCTTTTTCTTAAGTATCGGGTATTATTATAAATAAAGCATGAAAATGTTTTGAAAAAGAAAAGTTTCGCGCTATTAAGTTGACACTTCGTTTCAATGTTGCCATACCAAATAATAAATCGAAATTGGTAGGATATTAATGTTAAGTTATTCGAAAAAAAAACTTTTGAATGTCAAACCAAAGAAATAAAAATTACAAAAAAATCATACTGTAGGTTGGGAAATACTTATAATTATGAAATAAACTTACAATGAAACAGATAAAAATTTGAGTACAGCCATTATCGCGAAGCTAGGTGCCATAGTTGCTGCAAGACTCAGAATGAAGCCGATTGGCATAGCTAAGAGCAAAGTTTTTCGTCGACCTGTTGTATCGGCACATAATCCCCAAACATATGACGATAGGATTAAACCTGTAAATTGTAGGATAATGAGTTAATTACCTGAGAGAGTATAAATTAACGATTATAAAAGAACTATCTGGATAGATTTTCTAATTTAGTGTTTTCATACGCTTCACAATTTCTCAATGATTTGAATCACATTACATCATCATATAGGTAAGTGCCCACTGCTGAGCAATGGCACAGGAAAGATTTGAACATTACATAAAATTACATTACGTAATCACTAAGCTTGCTCAAGGCGGATTGGCGATATCAGACTCATAAAATTATAAGTCCAGGTTTCTTTTAATTAGGATCACTCACACGGCGAAACATAACTCTGTGGTTGTTTAACGCTGGTTTTCTATGAGACCGTAAAATACCAATATTTCTTTATATCTTACCTATAAGGGGTATAGCAGACAACAGGCCCTGTTGTGATGTATTGAGCGACATGTCACACGCCATGGCTGGTAGGACGACGGAAAAGCCGAAGATGTCCATATACATAGCCAGGATCAGCAGGCAGCAGGTTATTAGCATTCCCACATTGTATTTGCCGAAACCTGTTGAAAATAAAATAACGTTGCGTTTAATCTGAATCATTATTATAATCAATATTAGCCTCCAACAGTCTGTTCCGTGCATTTGAGTGTCCTCTATCTACATAAGAGTGATATGACGACGTCACAGTAAGTGGGCATGTATCAACGTTTGCTTTTGCCCCCTGTTCATTACTGATTCTCCCAAGGCCCGACCCGTTTTCCAATTCCCTAAACCTCAATCCTTAATCCTCAATGTTTAAAGTTTTTATATGTATTATGATAACATAACGAAATTCATATTGTTAGAGTTTCTGGTATCCGAATCCAGTGCTTGTTATAAGTATTCGTCGACCGAGTGTTTGATTTAATCGACTTTCCTTCCAAACGAACTTGGGTGCTATGGAAAATAAAGGATTTTTTTACTTTTTGTTTCTTTGTATACTTAGTCATCGTCAGCCTGTGGATACTAGGTCCCGCCTTTTTTTATTAAGGGGCAAATTACTTGTCACAGGGATGGAGAACCGATGGCACGCGTGCCATCGGTTCTCCATCCCTCCATCCTCCATCCCTCCATCCCTCCATCCCTCCATCCCTCCATCCTCCATCCTCCTCCTCCTCCATCTCCATCGATATAATTTCGGCACGTCACTGATTACGAGTTTAAAGAAAAAAGTATAAATTATGATGTCTTGAAGCATAAAACCTCTGCTATGCTCTAGTAAATATACCTAGAGCTTTGAGTTGATATTGTTTTTTTACATAATTTTCCACTGATCAAAAAGTCAATAATATTTGATGGGACGGCTGCGACGTTATTAAATATTATTCAAGAAAAATTGGCATGTATACGCATAATGGTTCACCATTCCTGACCTATCAAATGACTTCCTCTTCTCCTTTTTCTCATACGGAGTAGGAAGGAGCCCTAACGACATCGCGACGATTACTCAAGGCGGATTGGTGATTTCAAATATGTAATTGAAATTTTAATATTATGTTGACCGATGTTTTAATTATTGCTATCAATTCAAATGACAATTAATGAAATGGTCCGTCTCTTTAATAGATAGATAGGATATAATATTCGATCAGATAAAAATTTTATACCTACCTAAGTTGTAATCTTTTATTGGTGTAATCTTGTTGAGATAATTAATTATGCTGATTATTTTAGATACACCATATTAAACCTTTATTCCCTATAGAAAATGAATGGACGTTTGGTATGACACCTTTGTATTTTCCTATTTTCTTTATTTTATTATTATCTCCAAGGATTTAATACTTTCAGTTCTAGTCAAAGAATCAGATCTCACAAACTAAAACATAGACATACTAGCTTCCGCCCGCGGCTTCGTCCGCGTTATATGTTGATAGCCCTATAACCATAGCCTATGTCCTATTCCGGAGTGTGTTCTATGCAATAAAATTGTAATCGCTCCAAACATTGTAACATTGCGAAACATTTAAAAAAAGAATCTTTAATATCAATTTTTAAACAATTTGACTTCAATTGTGCAATATTGTGCAACCATGAAATTAGATTAATAGATTTTCTCGATAGATAATTGCTTATCAATAATTAATACAAAGCATTAAAAAAAATTGTTTAGTTCCTGTTCGTCTCTGACGCAGAAGTAGTGCTTCTACTTAGGAGTGCCATTGTAGAAAATTATTTATTCTAAAATGTAATCTATTTTAAGAAGTTAACACTGAATATTTGGGCAGGAAGTATATTACTTTTACTGGGACCTTCAAGAAAGAACATCATTACGGTGCACGGAGGTAGGCCGTAGATTGTAGGGAAAAGGAGAGTTTCCAGCTAGTCAAAACTATGCTTAAAATACTTTTAATGCTTGGGCAGTTGGGCCACACTGACGTGAAATGCCAATAATTATCGCGATAATTGATGACATTAAACTTGAAAAATATGTCTTAAACCATTTGTTTAGTGATCAAATTACGCATACGATTAACGGCCATTATCGCGATAATTAATGGCATTTCCCGTTAGTGTGGCCCAAGCACAATGAAACGGAACGTCAAAAACGTTAATTTTCTTTGAAATGATCTATTTTTGAATTTAAAATTTAAGACAAGGCCGGCATTATGACAGTCAGTAGTTTTGTTTTGATATGACAAGGAGTTAGGTATTTTTTATTTTTTCAGTCTTTAAGAGTAGGTATCTATTACGAAATAAGTGTTTAAAAATAGGTCAATTAATTATTTAGTTTTTTTTTGCATTTAATCCATATAAAAATGGTCTAATGCTATGCTGTAGGTTGCTATCTCTGTTATCTTCCATTGCTCATACTAGTTTTTACTAGGTACTCTGCTCCTATTGGTCGATTAATGAACTGTCAAAAAGAACTTTTCAATTCAAACGAACAGTTCCAACGATAAGTGCGTTTAAATTAAGAAAAAAAACGATTAAGCTTTACTAAACATATTTGTGTAGATATATTTTCAGTTGTTACTTGGTACCTTTAATGTTATTCCTTAGAATGACAAACTATGTATTAAATAGTAAAGATCCTTTATGTAAATCGTCTTTATTATTGAACCATAGGTACCTACTATTGGGTCGTGTGAATAGTACCTATTGGCCATATAATAAATAATGTTATTATTCATAATTCTCTTTATTTCTTAACAGTCGTGATTGAAGACACGTGGTTTGTTTTATCGTACGAATTGACTGCTAGTTCACATGTATTTCTATATAATAGAATTCTGTACACAACAGATCACAAATGAGTATTGAATTCAAAGTATTTATGCCTTTTACAATGTCTTTGAATAAAGAGATCATTTTTCTTTCTTAATAATGTATAATCTGTATTGTTGTAAGTAAATGTTTGTGTTGCTAACTTCATTAAAAACAACATTGTTTTATGGTATAGTTCGGCAAACGAGCGACCGGATTACCTGAAGGTAAGCAATCAGCGCCGCCCATGGACACCGGTAACACCAAAGGAGTAACGTGTGCGTTGCTGTTTTACGAACAAAATTTATAAAATAAATAATTTATAAATATTTTGACAATTCGACAGTAGGTATCTACTAATGGGCCGAATATACTCTGATCCCCGATGTTGAAACGTAATACTAAATTTGAGTAGCAAAAAGTTTAGTTTTCAGTAAATATATAATTGCAATTTTTTAACAATTTTTTACTCTTTTTCGAACGATTTCGAATTTCGAACTGCTAAAAACTTCTGCGCGAATGTATTGCGCGTATGGCGTACCTAATTGTACCTACATAATTATTAGCAAATTATCATTTCCTCCTACACCTATAGGTACCTACTACAAGTACTATGTACTAGTTTTAAGGTACATGCCGTAGCCAGATTTGACGTGGCGGAGGTAACTTTGCGTATTGTATATAAAGAAAAATATTTTTTATACGTATTTGAGTAAACAAAACATACTTCCTTATACCTTTTTTGTAGGTAGGGCGGGAGGGAGTGTCAGACTCTTACTGACTAAAAAGGGGTTTTTAGTTCCTTCTCCAGCTCTAGGCCGAGGTCACGGTGCCTCATTGTGCTTATCTCGCAACCCCGGCTTCCTTATAGGTACTTATCGTCAAATGACTTCTCCTGCCCAGGGTCGGGCGGGAGGGAGTGTCTTACTGACTAAAAACCCCCCTGTTCCTTCTCCAGCTCTGGGCCGAGGTCGCGGTGCCTCATTACGTTTATCCCGCAACCCCGGATACTTAGGCATGAAATTACGACTTTTGCTGTAAAATGCGAATTTACATTCCAATCGAAATTACTAATTTCGTGGTGTTTCGTCATGTGAGTAATCTGATCTTTGATCAGAGATAAGAAGAGAAACATTGGGGCTCTGATCACCTTGGCTCTCATCCCTAATCTTTAAACGATCGGCAACGCACTCACTTACTATTTGTTTATTATTATCAATCAAACGGTTGTAGCCCGGAGGCAGTTATTTTCATAAAGTAATAAAATATCCATAAAAAAATATTACGATACGTCATGGTAGAAAACTATAGACTGGCTGTTTAAATGAATTATTGAAATTGATGAAATAATATTTTTGTACCTAGTAAGTAATTATAGGTTTGTATATTTTTAATTAATTTAGGGCTCACCTGTGAGGTCCAAGGCATCTTCAAAACTACTTTTCTTGGAAATACTTTCTGGAACGGCAAACGTCATTTTAAATAACACTATTATTATTTTTAAATTAAGAACTCTTTTCACTTAATACTTTTGAGTATTTTGTTATTTATTTTTTATTATCATTGACAATTGTTTATGGTTGTTTTGTTTTTATTGGCTAGAGTAGTTTTCTTTTCGGCATGTATCGGTAACGGAATGGCGAATAGTGGAATGGCGGTCGTGGACCGATGCGCGCTTAAATATAGTTAGAAGTAAATCAAATACTGATAGCAGCACCACGCGGGTTCATGGCAGATAGTCTTAGATACATTTCATGAGATAACTATGACTTGCATTTATACGCAAATTTTATGTTTACATTTTTATCGTAACAGTTTTTTTGTCTTATAATAAAAATGTTTGTTTACTCGAAATATTTGTCGAAATTCTGATAGGAAACGTAAGTGTGAGTGTTAGCATAAACTCAATATAGGCTTCAGTGCAAATACATATTTACAAAGTTCATAAACTATTAAATGTTTTAAAATAAAAATATAGTTGATTTTAGTTTTTTCACACGACTCTATCATTTGTTGTGTCTTAAAATAACTAAATATAATTGCATACTTACATTAGGTACTTACTTTTTTATGTCAGGGAAAAATCATCAAATGACTTACCCCGCAGGGTAAGGCAAGAAAGAGAGTGTAAAACCCCGTTCCTTCTCCTGCTTTAGGCCGAGGCCCCGGTGACTCATTGCGCTTGCCCCGCATCCCCGGCTAAACATCAGCCCTATAGGGCCTCGTCTGTGGTGGACTATTGGCTCTTTGTGGAGCGCGCGGAACGCTACTACATGACTTGCTTGCTAAACTTACTTAGATTTCTATTTACATATCATATATAAACTAACCTCCAGTCGAGAAGGTTAAGTCGAAAAGAGTATAATATCTGTAATATAAACCAGTTTGGTTTTTGGTTATGTTATAGTTCTTCCCGATCATAATAGATCATATATGGCGCTAGGTACTGATTTTATCCTTTTTTTGGTGAAGTGGAAATCATCAAATGATCTCCCTCCTCCAGGATATGAAGAGAGGGAGTGTCAGACTCTTACTGATTCAAAACCGACTTGCCTTCTCCTGCTCTCGAGGCCGCGGTAACTTATTGCGCTTGTTCCGCAACCCTACTGAATTATATATAGGTATAATAATACTAATAAAGCCCGCAGGGCACCCTGTTGCGAGGTGACGGGAATTAGCGATCCCGCGGGCTACTATCATCCCGATTGCTCCAGGGAGGAGTCACCGTTCCTCATCTCCGGATTGCCTTTATTGGCTGGCTGGAGTGAACGATGACGAGGAACAGATCTCCCCCGCCTCTGGCTTGCCTTCATAGGCCGTCCAGAGTGGAGTCGCGAGAGTAGTGATGCTGCTCAGAGGGTGGAAGCTGTTCATAAGCGGCGAGTGGGCCAGTGATGCAGGATGCTTAGGCAGATGCAGATGATCTGAGTAGAAAGCTGGTGGCAGTTTCTTCACCCTTCAGCCACTCACATTTCCGTTGTCCCTCTGATGCTATTACTAGCAACCATTCCCAGGGTTCCCGATCGGTAAGTTGGCGAGTCTCCGCCTGCCATTTTTACGTGTATAAATTATATTGTTTCGGCAATCTATAATCTTAGTCCGAGGCATTCGCTCAGAGAATTATTTAAGGAAACTAAGATAATGACGGTTGCCTCACAATATATTTATGAAAATGTAATTCACGCTCATAAAAACAAAAGCTTATTTAAGAAGCATAGTGATATACATAATATTAACACGAGGGGGAAAAACAAATATGTTGTCCCCGCCTCCAGGCTTCAGAAAATAAGTAGTTCGTTTAGATGTCAATGTATACGCTTTTACAATAAAATTCCTAGGGATATTCAAAATTTGAGCCTCAATAATTTTAAAAGTGTAATAAAGGCTAAACTTTACTGTAAAGCATTTTATAAAATAAAAGACTACTTAGAAGATAGTCAGGCTTGGGAATGAGCCGCTGTAACTTCTGCACAGGTCATGTTGACATGTTTGTAACATAAGTTACGCTTTTTATATACAATTTGACATTACGTTTATTTTTTTAACAATGACATTATCACCTATTGTGACATTTTTATTTTTATTTGACATTTTTTATTTTATTTATTATTTTTATAATTATTTATTGACATCTTTTTTGCTCTCAGCCCAGAGGCTGGTATTAATGTCATTTACGGGCATACACCAAGTAAAAGACATTTATATTCTATTCCGTAATTGTTGGTGGTTCGTGGCTATCTATCGTTTCAATGGTTTGGAGTGGAGTTGGTGGTGATGTGATTTCATTTTCATCAATTTGCATGAATTTCCTAACTATGCGGCATGTGTTTAGAATTGCTGCTTTCTGTAGTTTTATGAATGTGGTGTCTTTGATATTTAATAATTTTAAACTATGAAAAAGGTGTTTTGGGATTACTCCAGTTGTAGACAGGACAATCGGTACTACATAGACTTTATCCTGTCTCCAGATTCTAGTTACTTCGTCTTTAAGATCGGCATATTTGTGTACTTTTTCAGCTATTGTTTTAGTTAAATTGTGAGTGTTGGGGACGGCGATATCAATAAGGTAAGTGGTTTTATTTATTTTATCCTGAAGAGTTATGTCAGGTCTATTGAAGTGAATAGTTCTATCTGTGAGTATTGCACGATCATAATACATTTTATGAGTTGAGTTTTCTAAGATGGTGGTAGGAGAGTATTTATAGTATGGGGTGTTTGTGTCTGTAATGAGTTTGTGTTGAATGGCAAGGGTTTGGTGAATGATGTTTGCAACTTGGTTATGTCGATGAGTGTAATCTGTTTGCGTGAGATGAGGGCAGGCCCCAGTGATGTGTTGGATTGTCTCGGAATGAATGTGACATTTCCTGCATTTGTCGCTTATAACTGTAGAGTCTTTGATTATGTATTTCCTGTAGTTTCTTGTGTTAATTATTTGATCCTGGATCGCTATTATGAAGCCCTCTGTTTCTGGGAAGAGAGTTCCTAATTTTAACCATTTATTTGATGCTTCTTTATCTATGGGTGTTTGTTCGAGATCATTATAGTGTCGGCCATGTAGTACTTTTTTCTTCCATGCTTCTTGCATACTTGTTTCTTGTTCATTGCGTGTTGGGATATTTTCTTCATAAGTTTGCTGTAGGTTAAGAGGAGTATAGCTATTGTCATTTGTTACTACTGCTTTGTGGATACTACTGGATAGAGATTTGTGGTGAAAGAATTTATATAATGAGTTAACTTGTTTTTTCCATAGGTTAGTAATGCAAATGAGACCTCTACCCCCATTTTGCCGTTTAATGTTGAGTCTCTCTATTGCCGATTTTGGATGGTGATGGTTGTACTTTGTGAGAGTTGTACGAGTAGCCCTTTCTATACTACTTATATTGCTCTGCCTCCATTTGATGACGCCAAATGAATATGTCAGTACCGGAATAGCGAATGTATTTATAGCTTTTATCAGATTTTTTCCTGTTAGTCGACTTTTGCAAATGATATTTAGTCTTCTTTTGTATTCTAAAATAAGTTTGTTTTTAATATTTTTGTGATCTATTCCTTTTGTTTGCTCATATCCCAGGTACTTGTACATTTCGTGTGGTTCCATAGCTTTAATTATTTGATTCTCAGTTCCAGAGTCAGCAACCTCGTAATCACCAGCGCGTACTTTGCCTTTTACTATGTGAATAGTTCTACATTTATCTAATCCAAACTGCATATTTATGTCTTGGCTAAATTCTGATGTTATTTTAATTAATTTGTCCATTTCCTTATCATTTTTGGTATATAGTTTTATGTCATCCATGTAAATTAAATGCGTGATTGTAGTTTGCGTGTTGTTATGTTTAAATTGATATCCCACCGGCTGGTTATTAAGCAATTGTGACAGTGGATTAAGGGCAAGACAAAACCATAGGGGGCTTAAAGAGTCTCCCTGATAAATACCTTTTCGTATTGATATTTCTCTGCTGGTAATAGTGTTATAAGGGTTATTTAGGTGTAAAGTAGTTTTCCAAAAAGGCATTAAAGTTTTAAGAAAATCTATTATATTACTATTAATTTTGTATACTTCTAAAACATTTGTAAGCCAGGAGTGTGGGATGCTGTCAAACGCTTTTTTGTAGTCTATGAAAGTACAGTGAAGGTTGCGTCTTTTATTTGCTGCGTGCTTATGTATAACTGAGTCTATGATAAGCTGCTCTTTGCACCCCATATGGCCCCGTCTACACCCTTTTTGTTCTTCAGCTATTATATCGTGTGTTTCTATGTGTGTTCTTATTTTGTGTGCAATTACTGATGTTAATATTTTGTATATAGTAGGCAAACACGTGATTGGTCTGTATTGAGATGGTTGTGAGGTGTGTTGGTTCTTAGGTAGCATATAGGTGATTCCTTTAGTTAAGAACTCTGGTGCATGTTGTTGTCGTAATATCAATTCTGTAAAATTGCTAAATGTTTTTTGCCAAATGTTTGTGGAGTGTTAGGAGTTTCTTAAACCAAAAGTTATGAATTTTGTCTACACCAGGAGATTTCCAGTTGTGTAGTCTGTCTGTTATTTTTGTTACATCTTCTTTTGTAACCTCTCTAAATTCCATTTCTTCTATTGTTTCCCATCTTTTCTTTTCATCTACTATCCATTGGGCTTCTGTGTTATGTGTTACCTGTGTTTCCCATATGTTCGACCAAAAACTTTCTAATTCTTCTTTACTAGGCATTTCTTCTATTGCTGGATGCACTGCCGTATTATTGTCTGTTCTTGCATTTAAGTTCCTGTAGAACATTTTCTCATTATTAGCGAAGAGATTATTGTCCTGTTTTCTCTGTAACGCTGTCTTGTATCGTTTATACCTACTACTTTTAAGTGCTAATTTCTGTTTTAGGGTATCGAGGAATTCTTCTGGTGTTTTATTGTTAGTTTCATGTCTAGTGTGTAGTGCTGTATTACTGAATATTGCCTTTACTCTATCTACAACTTTCTTTGATCTATTATTTTTTGTGATGTACTGAGTGAGTTTACCAATGTCGGATCGTAATTTATTTATCTGTCTTTCTAGTCTTATTTGCCATGATGGCCTATTGTCTCGTGGAGGCTGTACAGATCTAACATTACCAGATATTTTATATCCTAACTCCTGTGCAATAACGTATGCCGTGCAATATATTAATGTATGGATATCGTTGAGTTTTGAGTCGTTTGTAACATGTTGTTCTAGTAAATTGTTATTGAAGATACTGACTAATTTGAAAAGAT